AAATATCAAAAATATATATATATATATATATATATATATATATATATATATATATAGTAAGTCAAAGCAAACAGGAACACATGACATATTGGTTGGTGCAATGTACAGTACAATTTCCATCTTGCAGTCTGAAGGATAATCATGTGCACACCAATAATAATAATAATAATAATAATTAAATGATTGTTGCATAGATTTAGCTTTTCAATGAGTCATTTTAGTGCCTGGCTTTATAATGTGCACAATAAGTGCTTTCCCTGAGACACAAAAAGACAAAATAATGAACAAATTTATACATCCATTTAATTTCAATTGTAATTGCATAGAGGCAAAGAGGAAATATAAATATTGTAAGTGTCCTTTTGCCTGTTTGATAAAAGACCATTAAAGTGCTTGCAGAATAGTATAATGCAGACAAATGACAATAACAGTTCAGGGACAAATACACTACCGTTTAAAAGTTTGGAATCAGTATGATTTTCTTTCTCTCTTTTTATTTATTTATTATTTTTTTTTAAGAAAATGATACCTTTCATCAAGGATGCATTAAATTGATCAAAAGTGACATTAAAGATATTTATAATATAACAAAAGATTTGAAATTAATCCTGTTCTTTTCTTCCTATTTATCAAGGAATCCTGAAAAAAATGTATGAGTTTCCACAAAACTATTAAATAGCCCAACTGTTTTCAACATTGATAATAATAAGAAAGGTTCTGTTGCGAACCAAATCAACATATTAGTATGATTTGAGGATCATATGACACTGTAGCTTAAACAGTCTTTTGTAAAATGATCCATTACAATGAATAATGTTGCCATAGCAAACACATTAAGTAGTATGGGCTTATGAAACATCAGAAATGAAAAACAGAGGTGAAAATGTTCAAAATGGATGTAAATATAGGCCTACTGATTGTTGGAGAGGTATTAATCGTATTGCGGTTATTTAAATGAATCAAATGTCTTTAGACTGCCTTGTCCTGCTATCCATTCATATAAAACAACCGTGAAAACAATGTCCCATTGATGTCCAACGATGACCCATTTCTCTTTAACTCCTGAAACAGATATGAAAGATCTAGAATGATGGCAAATCTGAGAGCATCATTGCAACCTGTTGGCAGTTTATTCATTTTTTAGCTTTTTTCTTGGCTCCTTTATCCGTTTTCTCTTGTTCTGCTTTTTCCTTTTTCTTCTCTTTTTTCTTCTGCTCTTTAGCCTCCTTATACTTCCATATCGGTGGCTCTAAATAACCTTTGGTTAGCTTCTTCTTCTTCTCCTTCTTGGGCGTTGGCTCTCCAGACTTGGTCACTTTGATTTGGGGGACGCAGCCGGTGGGGAACACGCTATTGCGGCGGGCCATGCTGCACGGGACAAACTTGCGAACTCCATTGGAGGCCATGGAGAGCACGCTGCCTCTCCGCTCCGAGTCAGAGCAGCATGAGCCAAGCGACACAGAAGAGGCAGAAGTAGACGCCACAGAGATGGAGCCATTGCTGTGCCGCGTCGCATGTTCCTCAAGCTTTTTCCCAGGGTGCATCTGCATCAGTTCAGGCACGGCCAAGCGTCTCTTCCCAATCTCCGGCGGGCTTGATGGACACAGAGGACGGCATCCGCTGACCACCAAGGGACTGTGGATGCTTGTGGTTATGCGCACCATATGGTCCATGATGCCATTGTCCTGGGGGTCATGTGGAAAACTAAAGGTGAAAGTAGACTTCAGGCGATGGGCGACTTTCTGTCCTGTGCTTTTTGTGGCTGTGGCTTTGGCCACTAGCTCCTTCAGATCTGGCCACTCTGGGACATATGTTTCACAGAATTGTTCAGCCTGAGGCCTGCTGTTCAGCCGTCTAAGTCTGTTTAACGTCTCAAAGCGACCTGTCTTCAGAGCCCATTCTCGTATGTCCTTCCCCCTTGCGGCATCCACAACATTTATGTCAGCTCCTAGCAAAGGAGAGACAAAAGGAGACCATATTACACTACACTTACTTACACACTAAAATCCATTCTGTTAGTCAGATATCCAAATGCATAACTTTTTTTGTGTGTAAAGCATTTTATAGCACATTCTTTATAGCATAATTCTTAAGAACAAAAGTATATTTATGATGTGTCTTTTTATCTGCTGATTTGCTATAAATTAAATAGATTATAGAAGCATTATGTTTCAAGTCCAAAAAGGTCTGAAAGGCCTTTATTCTAGTTAAAATTATGCTTATTATTATGAATTTTTTTTTTTTTTTACAAAATATAAGAAATTTAAAATGAATGTTTTAACGATTGAAGTTAGAACAAGTTCAGCTGAGTTGAATTTGTGGCTATAGCTACTTTGATATGAAATGCATAAGAGTGTAAACATGTTATTGGTATTACTAGAAAAATATAAGCAGTTGTTTTTACCCCGCCAAGTGGCCACCTCGGGTATAACATCAATATTTAGTCTTGAAGGACTTTTCATTTCCATTTTTTTATGAATTTCAATAATTGAACAAATCATATTAACTAACCCAAATGTGAAAGAAAAAGCATTGTTAACTTTCACATATCTTTCAAGTTGGGCTACTTGAAAAAATTATGTTATTTGATTAAATGATTAAATTGGGTACTTGATAAAATGATATAGGCTAGTATAAAGAACAGGATAATTACATTTTAAATTCATTATTATTATTATTAGCTTGTCAAACTTGAGTTAAGTAACCAGTATTTACCTGTCCTGTGTCATAACAAAGGCAATACAATTCAAGACCACCACATTAAAGCAAGCGATATTATTGTAAAGATTGTTGAACTGATTGTATTTATATGTGAAAGCGAAAGACCTACTAACATTTTGACTACCTGCATTGTAGGTACAGTTAGTGTAGTAAATTGTCACGTCTAACTAATCACAGTTAAGTGCACACATGGCTAATCCATTACTTGCCGTGAGGTCTAAACAATTATCCAAGGATCAGGAAAGAAAATGTCCTTATAAGTTCGTCTTTTAAACCTGCTCGCGCTTATGTCGTGTCACCACATCAGTGTGCCTTTTTGTTTTCTACTTTACCTTACATACCTTACTGTGTGTGTGTGTGTGTGTGTGTGTGTGTGTGTGTGTGTTGTGTGTGTGTGTGTATGTATGTATGTATGTATGTATGTATGTATGTATGTATGTATGTATATATATATATATATATATACACACACACATACATACATAATTTATACAGAAGTATCCAATACTAAGAAATTCTGAAATTTTTAATATTTACATTTTCACTCAAAATTCTTATGATGATAATATTATTTGTAATGCTTAAATAGATACTAAATTAATAAAAAATAAATACATACATAAAAATTGCAAAACAGTAGCATTTTCAATAGTGGTCTCAAACCTTTGTACTTTTGTGATGTACAGCCTTTAGTACTGGTACTCAATATTTTGATGTTTAAATCAGATATTTGTCATTCTCTTATGAAATATTGCATGCACAACTGCATATAATATATAGCATGTACAGCTGAGTGTAAAAATGTTGTAACACCTGGCATTAGCAGGCATTTAAAACCTTGTGTTTATGTAACATATGTATGTTATATACCTATTTATAGATTTGCTCTAGGGATGTTCTGGGATGAAACAGGAACAGAATCCGATGGTTTTCAATCTTATGCACCAATTCACGTCATCCAGATTGCCTAAGGGAAGCTGGTAGGATCTCACCTGTCTGTCCTGGCCAGTCTGTAAACTAAATATTACAGTCCTAAAAATAACGTACCAGCCATGAGCAGTGAAGCCATGCAGTCATCGCTGCCCTGGATGACTGCCTTGAGGAGTGCGGTGAAGCCTCGGGTATCCCAGAGCTCCATGTTCACACCACTGAAGTAATTTAGGATGTAGTTGAGGATGATTACGAAACCTGCAGTATTTATAGAAGGAAATAGGAATTAGGTCCTTCGTACCTTATAATAATTTCTTTAATATGTTAATAAAGAGCCTACCAGACTGTGCAGCGATCATGAGTGCAGTGTTGCCGTCATTATCCTGATGATTGATATCCAGAAATGGGCACTGGTTGAGTCCATACACAAGATCCACAAAGCCTTTTGAGACTGCCACCATCAGACCATTCTATCAGAGAACAAGAAGAGGATTTGTCAGCATAGAAAATTATGTAAATAATTTCTTCTGACAAATTTCTGTTATACTGATGATGCTTTATGAGTAATAAGGTTATCTGACTCCCTACCCTGCCATTTATGTCTAGTTCCATGACTTTGTCTCTCGTAACACCCCTCTCCAGAACTCTGCGGAGGGCTGCTGCATTGTTCTTGGCACAGGCTTGGTACAAGGTGTTGGCAGAGCCTCGACTGGCATCTTCCCGTTCATAGTCAGGGAGCATGGAGTCATCTGACAGCACACTCCCAGAATCTGAATCATTCTCAGAAACTGACAACTCAGAGGTATCCTCATCTGGACCAGAGCCCAGATTTGGATCCTCCTGCACCGTGTCTTTAACCTCAGCCATCTGGCCAGCACCAGCCAGGACTCACACACTCAGCAGACACCCTCCCTGGAATCTGTGATGCAAAGATATACAGTGGGTACGGAAAGTATTCAGACCCCCTTAAATTTTTCACTCTTTGTTATATTGCAGCCATTTGCTAAAATC